GGCCGCGGGCCCCCCCCGGCCCCGCATGGCGGGAGCCCGGCCCCGAGGAGCGCAGCATCGCTGCGGGGGACAGGCCGGCAGCCCGTACAGAGGCTTACCGCAGCTGCCACGGCACTGGGGGCAACCCCCGCCCGCCTGAAGGGAGCCAGCAGAAGCAAGGCGGCTCGCAGCATTTCGACTCAGCGAGCAAAAGCGCTCCTTCCTCGCTCGCTTGGCCCCACGCCGCTGGCACGTTGTTAGAGGAAAGCCTCCCTGAAGCAGCAGGCACAGAGCCGGCCCAAGGGCTGCTTCCGCTGCGGCAATGGAGGACACGGCCAACAAGAAAAAAACAAACAAACAACAAACAAACTCAGGGCAACAAGAAGCCCTGAAGGTACCTACAGCCCCTGGAGCCCAGCAAGGTAAAAGTCACCCTGGAGCGCTGTCAGGCACCTGCCACTCAGTCTAACTGTACCGTGAAATACCATGTCTGAGAAACAAGGAAACCCAGTGTTCCTTTTCTTTGATTTAGTAATCAGAGTGAAACAGGTATGTTGCCGATTGCCCAACTTCATCCCCAACCTGCCAAAGCCTACAGCAGACAGCTTACTTCTAAATCTTTATTTGCTTTCTACACAGAGAAAACAGAGGAATGTTGAAGCAGCAATATTTAAACACACTAGCAGGGAGCCATCAATCTGTGAGAGCGCACAAAATGCAATAGAGGGCCATTTGTGCGGTGGTCTCTGCTAAGGGGCAGGATGAGGGTAGGTCCAGGAGCAGCCTCTTCAGACAGATGGAGAGGTCTACGCAAAGGTGGAGCCATTCCAGCCCACATTGGCGGCATTCATGTCGAAGTAGTTGATGTACACCCTGCAGAAGAGGCACGGGAAGACACAAACAATGACCTTATTAACTCATTTATATAAGTAATGAGACAGGACAGGGGACAGTGCTTCCCATTCCTCGGAAGAAATGTCAAGCTTCTTTTTTACTGAAATCTAGCTAACTTCTCTGGTAAAGCCTCCAAACAGTCAATATTCCCTCAGAGTCCCCGGAATTGTACTTTTTTTTCTTTTTTAAAATACAAACTCTTCTTCAGTCAGGAACTGCCCAGACACCAGACAGCTTTTGGTTAGCAGCCTGTCAAGAACTTCCGGAGATCAAAACCTTTTGTTTCTGAAGTGCTGCAGTCCTTCACACGTGTCAGACAGACAGGCAGCCTTACGAAAGCCAAGCAGGCCCTCGGGGCCGGCTCTGCACTTCTCCCTTCCAACCCCAGCACGTCAGTGGCAGCAGGGTCTTCTGTCCTTCACCGCTGCACGC